CTTTAAGGAAGCACTGGAATTGGAAGTTGGGCTGTAGCAAGTTCCTAGGTCTTTTTAGGACAGTAGTGTTTAAATTAAGCCCATAGTCCATAATGTAAAATGCCTTAAGTGTGACACCACATTCATCAGTGCTGCCAGTGACGTTTTCTTGTTTCCTCTCACATCTCAGCCCCTTTTATCAAAGTGGTAACTCACAAGGGTCTGGCTTGATACTTTTTCATGCCGACCAAAACCTGAGTGGGGAAAGAGCTTTATAGTCTGCCCAGCATGAAAGTGGACATAGGTCCTGATGCTTACATGATTTTCTTTCCCCTTCCCTATTTTAGAAGGAAGATACCAAAGAGGAAATTTATCAATGAATTCAGTGTGTCCAGAAATGCTAAATGTAATTTCTTTTTCCTTGTAAATGTATATACACATTTATTTATTCATTCATTCATTTATGCAGTGTTTCTTCCCTTTCCCTCCCACCCCTGGTAACCAACAAAGTTTCTTTCTGTGTATAAGCGTTTTCTTCACTTTTTACAATAATGAACTAATACAGTATTTGTCCTTCTGTGATTGACTTATTTCATTCAACATAATGTCCTCCAAGTTCATCCACATTATGTGGTATTTTGCAGATTCTACATTGTTCTTTAGTGTTGCATAGTATTCCATTGTGTGTATGTACCATAGTTGGTTTATCCATTCTTCTGTTAATGGGCATCTAGGTTGTTTTTATAAAATCTTTCTGCTATTATAAAATAGTGTGTGATGAACATGGGTGTGCATATATCTGTTCTTGTCCTGGCTCTCACTTCTTTAAGATATATACCTAGTAATGGGAATGCTAGATCAAATGGTATTTCTAATTCCAACTTTTTAAGGACTCGCCATACTGCTTTCCACAGTAGTTGTATCATTTTTCAGTCCCACCAGCAGTGTAGGAGAGTCCTAATCTCTCCACATCCTTGCCAGCATTTGTTATTTTCTGTCTTGTTGAACTTTGCTACTAGTGCTGGGGCCAGATGGTATCTCATTGTTGTTTTGATTTGCATCTCTCTAATGGCTAATGATCATGAGCATTTCTTCATATATTTGAATATGAATATCCTCTTTGGTGAAGTATCTATTCATGTCTTCTGCCCATTTTTTAGTTGGATTTTTTGTCTTTTTGTTGTTGAGGTGTTGGAGTTTTTATAAATGTTAGAGATAAGTCCCTTGTCAGATGTGTCATTGCCAATTTTTTTTTTTCCGAATCTGTAGGTTCTCTTTTGACTTTTGGAAAAGTCTTTTGAAGCACATAAAAATTTACTTTTTAGAAGGTCCCATTTATCTAGTTTATCTTCTGCTGTTTGTGCATCAGGAATGCTGAATATAATTTTAAAAAAATTACTTTAATTCTTTACATTTGACCTACCATCTCTGAAAAAAGTCATCTGTGGATCCTTGGGATACCTGAAATTTTTTCAGGAGTCTGCATGCTCAGAACTCTCCATAACAGTACTGTAGTAAGACATTATTTGCCATTTTCCCTGTGTTGTTATTTGCACTGATGGTGTAAAAGCAGTGATGGTGTTTTGGTTCTCTAGTGCTGCTATAACAGAAATACCATAGTGGATGGCTTTAACAAACAGGAATTTATTATCTTGCAGTTTAGGAGGCTAGAAGTCAGAGTTGAGAGGGCCAGATTTGGGGGCCGAGTGGAGGCCCCATCATTTTGGGCTTCAGCTCTACCTCTTATTCCAGGCCCGCTGGAGCAAGCTAAAGACTTCTTCTGACTCACGTTGGCTGCTGAGACTGATGAACCCAAGATAGACAGGTAAAATGGCACAATCCCAAGGTCGGCAGGCAACATGTCAGGCCACTGGTTCAAGACCAGGAACAATCCAAAGACTGACAGGCAACACGGCAAGGAAATCGTTCATGTCCAGGAACTGGAAATGAAGACTCGGCTAAATACAGGATCTAGATGTGCCAAAAAGCCAGAGATCTTTCTCAAAGCTTCTCTTTATATACTGGAAGCAGGCTACACTCTGAAGGCAACTACTTGGCTGCTCACAGCTTATTCCACCATGGAAGTGATTACAATCTCATTATGGGGAATAACTACATCTAGCTGCCCAGCCACTCAAAACCACAGCCCAGCCAAGTTGACACACAACCTTAACTACCATAGATGGGTAAAAAAACTTTTAGCACGTTAGTATCAATCCAGATAGTGGTACTAAGCTATACTATAGTTAACAGTATTCTTAACTGCCAAACCCTTGCAGTTAAAAACACACACACACACAAAATATACCAATTTTATTAAGAATGTCCTTGATGAATCGCTGCAATTATTAATTTTATTGACTCCTGACCCTTGGTTGCAGATGTTTTTTTGAATTGTGGTAAGATGTATCTTGCAGTTTTAACTATTTTTAAGTGTACAATTCATTGACATTAATTACATTTCCCGTGTTGTACAACCATCACCAATCACTAACCTTTTCTAAGACTTTTTCATTACTCCAAGTGGCAACTCAGTCACCATCCCCGTTTCCCCCTCCCCCAGAGCCGCTGGTAACCACTAACCTACATTATGTTTCTGTGCATTTCCTTATCATATATATTTCATATAAGTGGAATCATACAATATTTGTCTTTTTGTATCAGCATATTGTTATCAGGGTTTATCCATGTCATAGCATGTGTTAGAGCTTCATTTCTTTTTACGGCTGAGTAATACTCCCAGCGGCATTCAAGATTTAGAAGTATTACATTCGGCAAATCTGCTGTAAAAGATCTCTAATTTAAAGTGTTAAAGAGCAAAGATGTCACTTTGAAGAGCCTGATCTAAGCCATGGTAACCTCATATGCATGTGAAAGTTGGACAGTGAATAAGTGAGAGAGAAGAACAATTGATGCCTTTGAATTATGGTGTTGGCGAAGAATATTGAATATACCACAGACTGCCAGAAGAATGAACAAATCTATCTTGGTACAGCCAGAATACTTCTTAGGAGTGAGGATGGTTAGCCTTTTTTTCTCTTGTATTTTGCTCATGTTTTCAGGAGAGACCAGTCCCTGAAGGAGGATATCATGCTTAATATCAGTGAAAAGAGGAAGGTCCTCAACAAGCTGGATTGACACAGTGGCTGCAACAATGGACTCATGCATAGTAACAATTGTGAGGATGGTACAGGACTGGGAAGTGTTTTGTTGTTGCTGAGTTGGAACTGACTTGACGGCACCTAACAACAACAACGACAATATTCCATTGCATGAATATACCACATTTAGTTTATCTGTTCATCTGTTACTGGACATTTGGGTTGTTTCTACCTTTTGACTACTGTCAATAATGCTGGAATGAACATTGGTACAAGTATCTGAGTTCCTGCTTTCAGATGTGAAAAGTTAGCTGATTTCTGTGAAACCACACATTAAACAAATTTGCAACAATGTAGAATACCCCTTCTCTCAATAAACCTTTTATGTTTTGGTGTTTACTTCTTATAAAAAATGTTATGCAGTGTGTTTATTATGTTTTTAAGTGAATTTCAAAAATAGGAACTTAAAAAATATTTCTCAAAATAGCAATAGATTTAACCCACATAAACAAAAGCTTTTTACAGTTTTTAATAATTTGTAATACTGTAAAAGAGGTTCCAAGACAAAAAGTTTGAGAATTTCTGGTAACAGGTATTTTTTTTTTAATTGTGATTTGAGTGAAAGTTTACAGAACAAATTTCGTTTTCCATTCGACAGTTTGTACACATTTTGTTTCATGACATTGATTTCAATCCTCATAATGTAACAGCTCTCTTCTCACTTCCTCCTTGTGGTTACCTTTTCCGAGTCCTTCTTTGCCATGCATTACTTCCTTCTGAACTGTCTCTCAGTGCAAATGCTGCTTTTCTGATCTCCCATGGTTGAGCTAAAGTGTGTACTTACTTAGTGTAATTGTTTACCTTATATGCCTATCTGTTGTTTGGCTGGAAGCCATGAGAGTGAACTCAGTTCCAGGCCTGATGTGTGACTAGAGGCATTAGTCTCAGGAGGTTTCACCAGCCTCTATCAGACCAGTAAGCCTGGTCTTCATGATTTTGAGTTTTGTTCCACTCTATCTAGTCTCTCCTACATTGGTCCAGTTCTGAGTGGTTGACAGTGGTAGCCAGGCACTATCTGTTTCTTCTGGTCTCAGGTCATGTAGGCTGAGGTTATCGTGGTCTGCTAGTCCCTTGGACTAATTGTTTCCATGTATCTTTCTTTGGTTATCTTCCTTCTTTGCTCTGGATGAAGAGAGACAAGTTGTTGCATCTAGCTGGCTGCTTGCAAGTTTTTAAGCCATCAGTCGTAACTCACCAAACTAGAATGGAGAACAATGTTTTTGTGCAGTATGTTATCCTTATTGCTCATGTGCTCGCTCTCATTTTCTCCCCCCCCCATCTTCTACTTTTTTCACTGTGTCCTCTTTTAAATGAAGTTCGTTTTTTATTTAACATTATTGTCTACCCGTCTTTCTGTCCTCTGTGTAAAACCAAAAAACAAAAAAAAAAAACAAACTCACCGCAATCTAGTCGATTTGATTCATAGCGACCCCTCCTTGGGTTTCCGAGGCAGTCTCTCTACGGCAGCAGGTAGCCCAGTCTTCCTCCTGAGGAGTGGCTGGTGGGTTTGAACCTCCAGCCCTCTGGTTAGCAGTCAAATGCCTTGGGCACTAGACTACCCTAAATACTTTTAATAAATATTAAAAGATTAAATAAGTTGGAAAGGTTTACATAGGTGTTGGTAGTGTGCATAATTATTACTAAAACTTGGAGTGTTATGAATGAATACTGTAGGAATTTGCTGTAAATTTGGGTTTTATTGGTGCTTAATATTGCCCTTTGTTGCTATGCAATGAGTTATAATAATGTTTGTAGCTCTCTAGGAGTTTTGATTTGGGCTTGATTCTGACAATATTTGAAAATGTTTGATAATTTACACATGTAAGAATATAATAACCTGCCTTTCTCCTTTTTTAACAGGTACATGGGAATTGGTTTATCTGCTCAAGGAGTGAACATGAATAGACTACCAGGTACATTTTTAAATGAATTGTAGTAGTATTATAGTCTTAAGGCTAGCTCTTTCTGGTTAATAATTTCAAATTATTATTTGAAATAGTTAAATACTGATTTTGTGTGTTTTTGATCACCTGTCCTAAGTGGAAGCTGGATGGTTTTAAAAATATTAATAAATTTAAATTTTATGCTATTCAGCAAAACATAATATACCATGATTTTTTTTTTTTTTTTTTTTCTTATTTTAACTTCTAGTATATGGTCATAGTAGTTACTTTAAATAGTTTAATGTGGTTGATTATGTTTACCATCCAACAAATTGCTGGGTTTCTTAGCCCACCTTCCGTTGTTAATGTTCTGGGAATGTGGGCTACTGTTATAAAGAAGGTATGAGTTGAGGTGCAGACTATTTCCTAACACTGTTAATTCGAAGGATGGGGATCTTAGATTATCTTTACTGGTATTCTGTTTGCAAATGTTAGAAATTTGTACTTGATGAAATTTTTGGAAATAGAAAGCTGAACAGCTAACATAAAACTAAATGAAGTACCTTTAAAAAACCAGACCATGTATTGGCAGTCTAATTGTAATCAGATGTGTTAATTGGCCACACTTTCAGAATACCTTTTTACTTAAAATTTACTTGACATGGGGCTTGAATGAGGTTTTTATTACTTAAAAATTTTTCTTAGATACAACTGATAAAACACCTATGTTTACAAATAAATGTCTTAATAGTTTGATGCTGTTGAAAGACCACAGACTATTTGACTTTTGTATTTGGATCACAGCCTTGAAAACTTACTATGATTGATGAATAGGATGTAATCTTCTATTTTACATTAAAATGTGCGTTTTTTGTTTAATTCTTACACAATTCAAAACACAGTTCTTTGGTATATATGCAAAAGAATATACATGGAAAACTTGTTCTACAGTAAGTGTTGCATTTGTATTTTTTTCTGGTAAGGGTCCTTTCTGTTTAATTTACATTTTAATGCTCTGTATGATGATTTTATTTTCTTTAGTTTTGTAACCTGTATTTTAATTGAAAAAACTATCTAGTAATTTTTTTTTTAAATTTTTATTGTGATTTGGGTGAAACTTCGCAGAGCAAATTTCACTTTCCATATAGCAGCTTATGTATACTTTGTCTCATGACACTGACTACAATTTCTCACAGTGCAGCAGCTCCCCTCCCACTTCCTCCCTATAGTCACCTCTTCCCTGTGGCATTCCCTCTCATGTACTCCTGCCCCCACCCCCAGCTGCCTCCCTGTACATACACAGCCTTTCCATTCTCCCCTGATTGATCTCTTCAAGGAGTGTATCTACCTAATGTAAATGATCAGCTCATATGCCTGTCTTTTATTTGGCTGGAAGCCACAGGACTGGGTTCAATTCCAGACCTGAAGGGCAGCTGGAGCCCATAGTCTCAGTGGTTCCATCGGGCTCTATCAGACCAGCAAACCTTTTTTTTTTTTTTTTTATGATTTTGAGTTTTGTTCCACATTTTTTGCTCTATCCAGGAACTCCTACAAAGAATCCCCCTCCAAGTGGTTGGCATTAGTAGCTAGGCGCACTCTCTAGTTCTTCTGGCCTCATAGTTGTATAGGCAGAGGATCGCATGTTATACCAGTCGCTTGGAGTAATTGTTTCCATGTGTCTTTGGTTTTCTTCATTCTTCTTTGCTCTGGACAAGGGGAGACCCTTGTTACATCTAGATGGCTGCTTGCAAGCTTTTAAGATCCCAGTCACTACTCACCAAAGTAGGATATGGAACAATATTTTGTGTAGTATGCCAGTTGAGCTTGATGTCCCCTGTGACTATAGTTCCGAGCCCACAGGTCCAACTACTCCCACCCTCTGGGTAGCTGGCTGTGGCTAGGAAGTGACTACAACCTTGCCCCTTGTCAGCTCTACCATATACCTGGGAATGCTTACAGAACATAGATATACTTGTAGAAACATTGTCTGCCAACCCTATACATGGTCTTGGGCATGCTCCCCCCTGCATAGACATACCTAATAGTTCAGTCTGTCCACCCATCTATGCCCCAGTTTATCGATGTTTGCCTTCACTGACAACGCAGTACTGTATGTGCAAAAGGGTTCATCTCTGTTGTCTGTACCTCCCATGCACTCTCTCTGTCTTCCTCTTCTTTAATGCCACCATGTTGATCACTCACATTTGATACATTGCCTTTCTCTTCACCCAAATCAGTACTTGTCTCTACCTATTTAAGAGTGTTCCCTCCCCTCCCCTCCCATCCTTGGTAACCAGCAAAGAAAATTTCCTTCCATATATAAACCTTTCCTTGACTTTTGACAATAATGAGCTAATACAACATTTGTCCTTCTGGGATTGACTTGCTTCACTCAGCATAATGTCCTCCAAATTCATCCACGTTGTGCAGTGTTTTGCTGATTCTACATAATTCTTTAGGGTTGTATAGTATTCCATTGTGTGTGTGTACCATAGTTTGGTTATCAATTCTTCTGTTGATGGGCACCTTCCATCTTTTGGCTGTTGTAAACAGTGCTGTGATGAACATGGGTGTGCATATATGTTCTTGTCCTGGCTCTCACTTCTTTAGGATGTTGTTGTTATTTGCTGTCGAGTCAGACTCGACTCATCGCAGTCCCTCCTTGGGTTTCTGAGGCACACTACAGAAGTAGATTGCTCCATCTTCCTTTCAAGGAGTGGCTAGTGGGTTTGAACCACCAGCCTTCTGGTTAGCAGTCAGGTGCCTTAGGCACTGTGCTACCAGAGTAATGGAATGGCTGGGTCAAATGGTATTTCTAATACCAACTTTTTAAGGAATCCCCATACTGCTTTCCACAGTGGTGGTATCATTTGACAGTCTCATCAGCAGTATGTGAGAGTCCCAATCTTTCCACATCCTCACCAGCATTTGTTATTTTCTGTCTTATTGAACTTTGCTACTAGTACTAGGGCAAGACGGTATCTCGTTGTTTGAAAAAACTATCTAGTATAGTTTTTGAGAATTTAAACATAGATTTGGGAATTTTATCTTTGTGCTGTATATTGTACTGTTCTGGCTTATGTAGTCATAACCTTAGTGATAAATCTAGTGCAAAGGAACCTTACCTTTCTTTGTAAATATACTGGAACTTTCTTTTTCAGGTTGGGATAAACATTCATATGGTTACCATGGGGATGATGGACATTCATTTTGTTCTTCTGGAACGGGACAACCTTATGGACCAACTTTTACTACTGGTGATGTCATTGGCTGTTGTGTTAACCTTATCAACAATACCTGCTTCTACACCAAGAATGGACATAGTTTAGGTACTAAGATAACATATTTCATGTAAAATAACCAGATATGTGGTTAGTATACTTACAGCATTGTAGTTTTATTTATTATATAATTAACCTGTATATGTAGATATCTCTGGAAATGGTTTCTTTCTTCTTTCCAGGTGTAAATTGAGGAACTGGTGAAAATATATCCTGTAAAGGCCACTCTAAGGAGCTCTGGTGGCACAGTGCCTAAGGCATTTGGCTGCTAACATTTGTTGCCTCAGAATCCCAGGGGCCATTGCTATGAATCAGAATCAGCCCCATGACAGTGGGTTTGGTGGTTTTTTTTGGTGTAAAGGCCACTTTGTATCACATGTATAGGAATAACTGTAGAAGTAATACCCAGACTCAGCTATTTTAGTAATAGAAATGCTACAAGTTTTCAGATTTGCTTTAAACAAAATACTTTACCGTATGACTCAGTTCTCTAGGTAAAAAGCTAAGAAAAAAGGGCTAACAATTCTTAGAAATAACAAAGAGAGGGAAAGCTTGATACTACTAACCAGATAAAAGTCAATGACATATTAAAAGAGCAGCTCTGCAGAAAAAAAATGGAAAAGAATAGTGACTATAAGTTCCGTGAAGGGGAACAGAAATAAAAATAGTAACCACAAAACTTCTAAGAATAAAAAGTAGATGGCTTAGTAAGAGATGCATTGATTAATGGAAACTTATCAGTTGTAAGAGTAATAGGAAATTAGGATTTTTATGTTGAATACATACCAGCTTTACTTCATATTTTAAATTGTGTGTGGTCGTAAATAGTCTCTTTTCTTAGAAGTTTTTTTGTTGTTCATTTCAGAAAGTATCACTCATTCACTCTCACTGCCATCAAGCCGAATCCGACTCACAGCAACCCCTCCTTGGGTTTCCGAGGCAGTATCACTACGGAAGTAGATTGCCCAGTCTTTCTTCCAAGGAGTGGCTGTTGGGTTTGAACCACCATCCTTTTGGTTAGCAGTCAAATGCCTTGGGCACTATGCCATCACAGCTCCCTCATAAAAAATAAAGGATAGTAAAACTGATACATTTTTTTTAAAGAAAGGTGTCACATTTTCTCTTACTATTTGAAAAATCCTTGATTAACAGGAAATTATTTCTAATGGAGTAAAGTGAATGGAGACTAGAACTAAATAGCTCCCAGCAGGCAGAAACTCCAGTTTGCTTATAAATCATATTTAAAAATTAGACTGTAAATAGTATGCTTAGACATATAATACATGTTCCTTTAATGTAACACAAAAGTTCTGTCATTATAGAGAAAATTCTAAATTTCTGGCTGCATTAGTGATACTGTTGTTAGGTGCTGTTAAGTCGGACTCGACTTATAGTGACCCTCCTTGGGTTTCCGAGGCAGTATCACTATGGAAGTAGATTGCCCAAACTTCCTCCTGAGGAGTGGCTGGTGTATTTGAACCTCCAGTCTTCTGGTTAGCAGTCAAGTGCTTTAGGCACTATGCTAAAAAGTCATCTAGTTGAATTCTGATTCATATTGACCCGATAGGACAGAGTAGAACTGTCCCGTAGTGTTTCCAAATTGCAGATCTTTACAGAAGCAGACTTCCCCATCATTCTCCCACGGAGTGGCTGATGAGTTTGAACCTCTGTCTTTTTGGTTAGCAGCTGAACACTTAACCACTGTGCCACTAGGGATCCCCGTTGATAATACTTTTTTTTTTAGTATCTCTGTATACTACTTATATAAAATGTGTCTTTTTCATAGTATAATATTTATATTGAGCTTAAAATATTTACTCTTGATTATTAAGTTTGATCATTTTGCTTTGTTATCTGACTTAAAGATTGTCTCAAATCCACGAAAAAGTACTTATATTTTCATCAGTATAAGAATTTTCATTACGAATTTCAAGAATATTATATGTATGTCTGTGATTTGATTGCTGTGGCCAGTTGGTTTCTAGAAGGATATAGCCTTTAGTTTTTTTGTTGTTAATACCTGGCTCTGACTTGTCAAAGCAGTTAACTGGGCTTGTCTTAGTTGGCTTGGCTGCTTAAGATGTTTAAGATCTTAATTAAATAGGAGAAATCTGCTTATAGGTATGACCTTTTATTCAGTGATTCCAGAGAAGATATTTTTAACCCTAATTGGTCTTCTTTGTAGCTTTTCAAACTTTTCAGAAAAAAAATTTTATTTTGGGACATAAGGTGAACATAGGTGATGCATTTTTTTTCCCTACTTGATTTTCATCAACATTTAAATTGAATTTTTATCTTGAATAAGAAAACTATTTTTTTATATTTAAGAATGGTTCTTCTTAAGAGAACGGTACCTACTGATGGATCATTCAGAATTTAAGTAAATTTGAAACACTTGACATTATTACTTACAAATTTAATAAATATTTATTGAACACATGTAAGTCTTATTACAGTAGTTAAGAAGGTGGGTTCTTTAGTCCGGCTTGCCTGCGCTTAATCCTAACTTAGGCAGTGTGACCTTAAGATACTTAACGTTTCTTTGCCTCAATTTTTTCAGTTTTGAAATAGGATTACTACCATGCCTATCTTGTAAGGTTGTTAGAGTAAACTGAAATGATGAATGCCAGGTTATTAGATCATTGCCTGGCACATAGTAAGCACTCACTAAATGTTATCAATTATCATTGTTTGCTGGATACTGGGCTGGGTACTAGAGATACAGTAGGAAAACATCAGTGAGCAGAAATTATTCCTCTAGAGTAAGGATCAGCAAACTGTGACTCGTGGGCCAAATCCAGCCTGCTGCCTGTTTTTTTTCTCAAGTAAAGTTAAATTGGAATATCAATATACTCATTCCTTTATGTATTGTCTATGGCTGTTTTCCCACTGCAATGGCAGAGTTGAATAGTTGGAAAAGAGACTCTGTAGTCTGCAAAGACTAAAATATTGGGCTCTTTACAGAAAAAGCTGACCTCTGGTCTAGATCTGGCATCTAGGAGATATAAACTACCATTCAGTTACTATTTTCTTATGCCTCCCAGAGCAGAAAGTTTCTTCCTAAAGCTGATAACATCTTTAATTTCTGTCTCATGCAGTTTTCAAAATATATATTTACTCACCATATAAAGAGAAAATGAAATGTTTTTATTTGAGAAAATAATTAAGGGAAAAATATTTCAGTGCATGTTGTTGTTGTTATGTGCTGTTGAGTCAGACCTGACTCATAGCAACCCCTCCTTGGGTTTCTGAGGTGGTATCACTAGGGAAGTAGATTGCCCCCATAGTCAACTTGATTTTTAAATATTTTGACTTTGTTTCCTTGAATATATTTATCAATTGAGCACTTTGAAAAAGCTTCTAAACTGAACTCAGGAAATCAGAAATGTAGAAAATTGTTTTCTATGTAAAATTTAAATAATTATACCAACCTGTTAAAGTTTTTTTGTTATCTGAATTTGTATAGGTTGTGATATATTTGGCACTGTTCAAAAATCTTAATCTGTGGCTTAATTTGTATTTGTCATTAAAGTTTTTGATAAAATGAGGATGTCAGTAATTACTGACAAAAGAGAATTTTTGCTAAAGCAGGATATAGATTTGAACAGTGTGACTACTCAGTGCAGAAAATAGATGTGTTTAAGAAAAATAATTGATTAGGCTGCTATTTTACGAAAGACTGACGACTGTATAAATCTGTATTATAATGTTTTATTAAAACGTTTTCTTTATGCATTTTTGTTTTCTGAAGTTTTTAGAATTTTGTATTTGTTTGTCCCACATTCACTTTGCCTTCTGATAAAATAAAAGTTATCAGAATATTTTACATGGAAAAAACCCATCAGCTTTGCTTTCATTCTGGAAAGCCAACATGCATTTACCAGTATTTTAAGTCATCAAAACAAGACTTTACTAAATACAAAGCACTGTTTTTTATCTATTTAATTAAAAACGTAATAGAGTTTATATTCAGTTTGCCTTTTTAACTATTATTTTAATAGAGTCAGATGGTTCTGTTTTCTGTTGATGTAGCACAAATGTAGATACATAGAGAATCTTAAGTGGAAAGAGGCCATAAAGGTGGCGGTGGTTGTTAGATGCCGTTGAGTCGGTTCTGACTCATAGTGACCCCGTGTACAATAGAATGAAATGCTGTAAAGATAATTTAGCAGAAATGCCCTCATTTTGTAGGTGACAGTCAAGAATGCAGAGGTAGTGATGTTGGTGTAGTTTATTGTTTGTTTTGTTTTTATGTTTGTTTAGACTGGGAGATTGAGATTATTTATTATTTGAATATTTGAAAGGAGATTATTTGGTCATTGCTTTGGGATGCCATTAGATTTATTCCAGTGAAGTTGCCATTACTCAAGTGTAATTTTCTTTTTTTCAGGTATTGCTTTCACCGACCTACCGGTAAGATATGATTTATTTTTAAGCAGTTTAGCTCTTTTAATTAAAAGAAATATTAGGAAGTTAATACTAAGCATATTTAGAACCACCACTTGTCTGTCAGTTTGTCATACTGTTGTGGTATTTCAAATACCATCAGGGTTATCATGGTGGACAGGTTTTAGCAAAGGTTCCAGACTAAGACAGAATAGGAAGAAGGATGCGGCCAGGTCTTCTTCTGAAAAAATAGGCTACTAAAACTGTATGAATAGCAGGGAAACATTGTCCGATACAGTGCCAGAAGATGAGCCCCTCGAGTTGGAAGGCACTCAGAATACGACTAGGGAAGAGTTGCCTCCTCAAAGTAAAGGTAACCTTAGTGATGTCGATGGAGTAAAGCTTTTGGAGCCTTCATCTGCTGATGTGAAGCATCGCAGTGATAGTGAGGATGGCACAGGATCAACTTGATGACACCTAACAACATCAGCATGTTTAGAAAGTTTAGAATATAATGTCATTAGTATTTATTAAGCCTAATGTCTCACATAGAATACAGATCCTTTCTCTAGCCACCAATGTTATAAACTTTCAGAAATTATACTTTGAATTGCACTGGAATCAATTACACAAGGGTATTTTATTGTTAAAAAGAAATCATTACTGACTTCCAGTAAGATGGAGGAATAGGCAGACAAGGCACATAGACCCTCCTCAACAAAGAAAAGAGAAACCAACTGACAGAGATACAGAAGATAATCTAGGAGCCCTGAGCTTTGAGAGAAAGTACACAGAAGTGGATGAGGCACCCACTATTGGAAAAGCCTGAAAGAAAACAATGAGTACAGAGATAGTTGGAGCAATGGACTGTCAGCTACTCTGACGGGACCAACAGCCTGAATATTTGCAAGTGGTCTTTGGACCTGAGAATTGACCTGAAGATTGGCCCTGGTCACCAAGGGCTTCAGGGACAACGGCTGCACTGGTGGCCTGTAACTAGGAAGGGAAACAGCAAGGAGGGAGACAGCCTGAGCTATGGACTTTATGCTGTCCAGAGGGTGTAGCTATTTTGATTGTTTACAAGTGGCAGCCGTTTTGAATATTTAAAGGGACGGAGGGTGCAGCCATTTTGAATCTTTACAAGTCGTGGCCATTTTGGATTTTAAAGTGACAGCATTCTCATTCAGATTCCATTTTGGGTATTTAAAATAACTGAGGGCACAGCCATCTTGAATCTTTACAAGTGGCAGCCATTTTGAATTTTAAAGTGCTAGCATTCTCACTAAGATTCCAGGGACCTAAGAATAGGCTCTGTTTGCCAAGGATGGCAGGGACATATGAGAGGCTGACAACAGGAAAGGAGACAGGTGGTGAGTATATAAGTGCTGTCAACTAGTGCATAAAGGAGCACAACACAGTACCCTGCTTATGTAGATAACATACAAACAAAACAAAATGAAAACTGTGGGCAAGTCACTCCAACATAAAATCACCAATTAAATATAAACACAAAAACATCACAATGCTTTGGAGACAACAGAGCATCACAGTCCACACAAAGAAGCAAGATAAAGCAGGAGAAAAAAGGGACCAGGATACACACCCAGAACACATGTGTGAGGAAGAGGCAGCATTGGAACTCCCTGATAAGGAATTCAAAAGAATTATAATTAGGTATCTTCAACGAATTGAGAGACAGATCAAGGAAAACACAGAGAAACCCTAGAACGATTTCAAAAGACAATACAAGAACAAAATGACAAAGGAAAAATTAGAAATGATACAAAATCTACACACAGAAATCCAGAAGATTAATAATAAATTTTCAGAAATAGATAAGACACTGAATAGGCAAAGGAGTAGAATTGAATCATTGGAAGACAGAATTAGTGAGAGTGAAGGCAGATACCTCACTACTTCTTTGGCAAGAGATCAGTCAGAAAAAAGATCAAAACAAAATGAAGAAAGCCTAAGGTTCATGTGGGATACCATCAAAAGGAATAACCTACATGTAATCAGAATTCCAGAACAGGAAGAGACAAATAAAACTACAGAGAAAATTGTCCAAGATTTGTTGGAAGAGAATTTTCCTGGTACGATAAAAGATGAGAATATATCCATTCAAGAAATCCAACGAGCCCAAACAGGAAAGACCCCAAAAGAAAATCACCAAGACATATCATCAAACTCATCAAAACCAAAGGTAAAGAATCACGAAAGTAGCACGGGAATAACAAAAAGTTACCTACAAGGGGCAACCAATAAGACTAAGCTCGGATTTCTCAGCAGAAACCATGCAGGTGAGAAGACAGTGGGATGGTATATATACAATCCTGAAAGAGAAAAATTTCCAACCAAGAATTATATACTCAACAAAATTGTCCCTCTAATATGATGGTGAAATTAGGACATTTCCAGATAAGCAGAAATTAAGGGAATTTGTTAAAAGCAGACCAGTCTTACAAAAGATTCTAAAGGGAGTCCTTTGGACAGAGAAGTAACAACAGCAAAAAACAAGTAACCATTAGCACACATGGTGACATAACCCAGAAAACAACCCAGCTATGGAAGTATCTAAAGTAAAGAAGCCTACAAGATTGTAAACAGGGAACCAGAGACATCAATTGACAAATGAAGACAACTACAAACCAAAAAGAGGGGAAAAACTGTAGTTACAGAACTTCTAGATGATGGTAGGGAAGTCAAGACAACTACAAGATAGAACAGACTGTTCTAAACTTGGGAGGAAAACTATAAATCACAGGGTAACCTCAAAGAAAAATGATAAACCTTCACATCGAAATAAAAAAGAGGACCAGCACAAATACTTAGCAAATACTAAAACAATAGCAATGAAGGAAGTGATAACACTATTCATAAACAAAACGAGCTCAGCATAGAAAATTATATAGAACAAAGAAATTGACACCACAGAAAAGCACATAACAAAAATGAGAGCAACAAATTTGTGTTTGCTGATAATTAATGCTGTGCAGCACTAAAGAGTAATTCAGAGTCTGCAAAACACTGCATAATATAGAGGACATTATGCTGAGTGAAATAAGTCAATCGGAGGACAAATATAGTATTAGTTCGTTGCTGTGGAGGTCAAGGAAAGGTTTATATATGGAGGAAAAGTTTCTTGGTTGGTTGCCAAGGGTGGGAGGGGAGGGAATGGAACACTGCAAAAAAAAAAATGCATTGACCTATGTCAGTTTAATTTTGTGTATTTCACTGTACATAAATTATATTTCAATAAAATGCATTTTAAAACAAATCATTAGTATAATATAATTTTTAATGTCACTATACATTCATCCAGTGTTTATTTGGTGTCATTGACCTTTTCAACTAGGGTCTGTGCAACAGTTTTATTCATTCAGCATATTGAGGGCCTGCTGTGTGGCAGGTTCTGTGCTTAGGACACATCATTGCACTAAACAAATAGAGATCTCTGTTCTTTTCGAGTGTATAACAATCAAACTGGGGAGATAACAAGACAATAAAAAATACATTACAAAATAACAAATTATAACGTATTTCAAAAGATTTTAAGTACTATGGAAAGAAAGAAAAAAATAGAGCACAAGAGTATCAAAGGCAAGACATAGAGTTATATATGTTGTTCATCTTTGTTCAAGGTGAGACTGAGCAGAGGTTTTTGAAGGAGTGAGGAAATTAGCCATAAGTAGAGGAGGAATGATCCAGGCAGAGGGAACAATTACAGCAAAGGTCCTGGGGCAGGAATATAGTGGCTTGTTGGAAGAATAGTGTGAAATGTGGTTAAAGAGAAATGAGTGAGGTGGAGAGTTGTGGCTGAGCCAGAGATACAGGAATGACTGAAGGCAAGGAGTGAGAGGGTGGTGCTATAGCATCAAGACTTTGTAGGCCATTGGATTTGGGCATTTACTGTGAGTGAAATGCAAAGACACTGCAGAGTTTTAGTTGTTGTTTTGGTTACCTCTTGTGCTGCTCTAGCAGACATACACTACAAATGGGATGGCTTTATTCTCTTATAATTTTGGAGACTAGAAGTTCTAAGTGCCAGGCTCTAGGGACTAGGTGGAAAGCCCCTCGACCTTAGGCTTCAGCTCTGCCTCTTGCTCCCGGCCCACTGAAACTGGAGGCTTTCTTCTTTCAGGCAGCTGCTAGCTGCTGAGGCTGACAAACCCAAGGTCAACAAGTAAAAAGGCACAGTCCTGATATTACCAAACCATATGGCAGGCCATTGATTCAAGTCCATTACGAGTCCAGAGGCCGGCAGACAACATGGCAAGCTGCTGAACAACAACTTGGCAGAAACTCAAGTGACTCACACCAGTAGAGATGTGAATAGTGGTCTGGTTATAGAAACCTTATTTATGAAATCTAAGACACTATCAAGGGACTCTGGTAGCGTAGTGCCTAAGGCACTTTGTTAACCAGAAGTCTGGTGATTCAAACCCACCAGTCACTCCTCAGAAGGAAGATGGGGCAATCTACTTCTGTAATGATACCACCTCGGAAACCCAAGGAGGGGTCACTATCAGTTGGGTCTGGCTAGATGGCACATAACAACAACAAAAACTATAGCACGGTGCTTTCTTACCACTAAAGTTTTATATTTAAGTTACTTAAGAGTGATCTCTTGGGGTTATTTTGAACAGATTTTTGAAAATCACCATCCCTCATTGGACACATACAAAAGGTGTGATAAGAAGTATAAACTGATTAAAGTATTCCCCAAACTTCTTCTGAATCATTTAAATAAAATATGATGACTCTGGGTGTGTTAATCCTGGAGCAAAACTCCCTTTTTATCTGTGAACCTGTGAAAACTAGGAATACAGATTATCTGTTGCCGAAGTACAGTGGTGGAATAGGCACAAGGTTGACATTTTCATTGCAAATAGAAATTAGAGGGAAAGAAGGGGTCATGAGTACCAAGCAAGTTCACAGCCCAGCAGGACACACTTTATTAGTTCTCAAGACTGGAAAAGAAACCTATATAAGGAAAAACAAAACAGAAAACATAATAAAAATAAATG